TGCAGCGAAATTTACAAAGTGTTAGTAATTAGCGACTTTATTGGTTTCTTTCATGAGAAAGTGCAGCGAAATTTACAAAGTGTTAGTAATTAGCGTCTTTATTGGTTTCTTTCATAAGAAAGTGCAGCGAAATTTACAAAGTGTTAGTAATTAGCGACTTTCTTCCGCAATTTCTAGTGCAAAGAGAATAATAAACTGTAATCTGGAAAAATATTAATAAAAAAGAATAACGCAATGTTGTACTAAAGTTAACATATAAAGTTTAATACAGATCAGTATATATGTACTTATGGACAGAGCTTGGTCTAGTTCCCAAACTATAAATTCGACGATTTATGGTTCGCGTCCCGTTGTCAGAAACACACATACAAAAAAAGCGTGGGTGCATCATGAAATTCACGGTCAAATCTCTAATTCGGCCAGACAAGAGACAGGAGTAACCCAAGAGTTGACGGTGGGTGTTGTTAACTAGATGCCTTCCCTTTAGTCTTGTCTAACATTTCAAAATTAAGGTTTGTTTGTTTGAAGTTAAGCACAAAGCTACACAATGGGATATCTGTGCTCTGTTCGCCACGGGTATCAAAACTCGGTTTCTAGCGTTGTAAGTCCACAGTCATACCGCTGTGTCGCTGGGGGGGGGGGCAAAATTAAGGGTCGGCTATAGGTATATACCTTTTGATGTAGCTTTAGTCGATAATCATAAACCAACCAACCAAACAACAATTTTATATATGTGTATTTAAATGTAAATCTAAAGGACAATGACACACCACAAAACTTGTAAAGATAAGACTAGTTTCCTTCAGTTTTGTTTTTTTATTCTAACACTCCGTGTCAATAGGACGGAAACAATGTTTAAATGTTGTTGTTTTCGTTAATTATAATTTGAATATTATAACCTGTGTGTGCATGTCTTATAAGTACAGGATGAAGACAGGATCTAGAAAAGGGATAAAAGTAGCTCACAGGACAGAAAAGTTTTTAGACGACTTCCACAAAGTTATTTACTTGTAACAGAATGGAGACGATGTCTTGGAGTCGAATTAAAAAGTCCTCAGCGGTTATTTAGTTGTATTTATTATTAATTTACCGAGGATGGAAAACTGTTTAAATGGCACTCAGACGAGAAAGGCACCGAGAAATTTCTATTACAGGAACATCCTTGAGAAAATTGCGTTATGATCGCCTCTCGTTCTCAACTTTCATACATGATATTGTATTATTACACCACTACAAATCTGACTTACTTGATCTATTTCACACCATAATGGTTGTTGTTCATAATACTGATGATATAAATAGCGCTAGTATGTTTGTCATATCCCAGCCGGCCTGATGAGCCCTGGTACTGCGCGAAAAGCATCGTCGGCACTAGATATGGCAGACGTGGAGTGGTTGATATATTATTATAACATTCTTCTTTAACTCATAAGTCGTTAGAATTTCATTAGAATCATACAAGTGATCCGTTTCTTAAGGCTATATAATAAATACTCATGTAACAATAGATCATATAAATCTTAAACTTTTATATATATAATAATAAAACAAACTGTAGGTTATTTTAACGTTCACATTTTGGGCTAGTTATTTTAAACTATCAGATATAACATTCATTAGAGATTACCCATTGTAATTTTGAATGTTTTGAATTTAATAATGTCAAAATGGCTAATATGTAAGAACAGACGGTGTCAAGATGGCTAACCGTCTGTTCTTACATACACCAAAATGGGTAACCGTCTGTACTCATATATGTAAAGATGGCTAACCGTCTGTTCTTACATATGTCAAGATGGCTAACCGTCTGTTCTTACATACATAAATACCTACAATTAAAAATAATTTAGTGCCTGCTTATAATTACCTTACACTAGCTCATATCTTTGTTACACGTTAACTCAGCGTTCCGAGAACTCAGTACTAGAAACAGGTACTTACTTCATGCTCAAATCGTTTTAAACAGTATATGAAGACAACAAGTTTCCGCTTGACTGGGTCTTCTTTAGACAGTTTACCAAAAAGAACAAACACATGCATGTTAATTTCCGATAGTGACATATTACAGATCGAACTGGCGTCCATGCACTCAGAAATCTGATATTTACAACAAGTTGTCTATTGTTAGGCTTGATAACGAAAAATGCATCTTACATCGTTTACAGTATAGCAGTAAACTACGTGCTTGTTTTGAGGAAAGGAAATCCACTATGTACTTTAAATAAAAGTCCAGAAGCACAGCTTTTGAGTGGAGTTTTATTTATATATTTTTATTTAATTTTACTACAACTTTTCGCTCACTCGTGTGGCCATCTTCAGGTAACAGTTGCCTGATGACGGCCAGACGAATAGTCGAAACGCTGTAATAAAGTTAAACAAAAAATAAATCCACTGAGAAGCTGTAATTCTGGACTTTTATTTAAAACTATGTGCTGTGCTTCCGTGATTTATCGATCAGAAGTCGATCAGGAGATAGAATATAGGCAGTACAAAAAATAAAAACACAACAACAACAAAAATTCAATACATAATCGAACAAATAATTAATATTAGTGTAAAAATTGTACGATGATGCGGTATCGAAAGGCGAAAACTGTTCTTGTGATTTCACTTTCGTTTCACAAGGCTGTCTGTCGACTGTCGAATCAAGGTCAACACTTTCGCTATCACTAGACAGAACTGAGGACCTTGCGTCCTCGCACTAACATAAGCTTGTTTTTGAAATGCACAAGGAAAATGTTATTATTCACTTCTTTACTATATATACCCTTGTGTAAAATACTGAACAATCAGACTTTACTTCTTCGTGATATGGAACACATTTTCGTGGACTTAAACAAAAGATCATAAATAAAAATAATTAAAAAACAACATACTGGGTCTTACCTCGTGACGACTACCTTTCAGCGTTTATAGAGGTTTAGTAGAAGAATTTTACTCTCAGTATTATATTTGCCATACAATGGTCGTGTATTTCGTATTTATAGGTCGATATATTTAAATACGTACAAAACCTCTTTCTCGTCCAGTCTGTGAGAAACCGACTAACACTTTTCTGTCTTGGAGCATCGAAAGACAACGCGGCTGGTAAGCGAGCCGAGAAACGTATATCGTGGTGGCGCTGCAGTAGAATCCGGCTCTTGGATAATAATATTCTTCCAAGCATAACGAGATGGGAAAACAAGAGATCGTTCGTCTGAAAAGTCCCCCAGTGGGACAACGATAAGTCTACGGACTTACAACACAAACATATAGGGTTCGATTCCTCGCGGTACCACAGAAGATAGCCCAACGTGTTTTTGCTCTAATACAAAAACAACAACAAAAAAAAACAACTCGTTTGAAAAATTGGCTCTGTTACTATTTATATCACCCTGTTTGAATGGTGAACAATAACTCTTACCTTAAAATTGTCAGTAAAATGATTGATTAGGCAAATAATAAAAACATTTCCGGGTTTCGATTTACAATTTAAAAATATTTATTTTATTTTCTTCGTGTATGTGCGGAACGTAACTTGAGGCAACTTTAGAAAAGAACACTTGTTGTCTGACTTTCCTTGGACCGGTGTTACGAGGTCTGTGGTCAATATATAAAACCTTAGCAGCTTTAAAAACCAAGTTTATCCATGTGATCGTCGACTTGTTGTGCGCATAACTTAAACATCTGAATGACAAAGTTATAATTTTCACAACATTTAACCGTTAAAAAAAAACAACGTTAAACTACTGAAGTTTTTTTTTGAACAAGAAACTCCAAAAAGACTATATCTTTGTGTAATATTAGCTTACTTTGCTGCTATGTTACAAGCCCAATAGATATAATAAAGCGTAATCTACAATGTTTATCAGTGAAAGAAAATTATTTTGTAATATTCGAATATATATTTCCTCTTTAAACAGAGAGCTTCTTGTGCTAATGTTTGTAAACATATCTTCTTTGTGTTATAGCTTCTCGTGTTAATGTTTGTAAACAGATCTTCTTTGTGTTATTGTTTCTCGTGCTAATGTTTGTAAACAGATCTTTGTGTTATAGCTTCTCGTGCTAATGGTTTTAAACAGATCTTTTTCGTGTTATAGCTTCTCGTGCTAATGTTTTTAAGCAGATCTTTGTTTGTGTTATATCTTCTCGTGCTAATGTTTGTAAACAGATCTTCTTTGTGTTATAGCTTCTCGTGCTAATGGTTTTAAACAGATCTTTTTCGTGTTATAGCTTCTCGTGCTAATGTTTGTAAACATATCTTCTTTGTGTTATAGCTTCTCGTGCTAATGTTTGTAAACAGATCTTCTTTGTGTTATTGT